CACTGCTCTTTGGGGCGGGGCAAGAGTGAGAGCTGAGGTTGCTTCTTACTCAGCGCCACTGGCTGGGAAGCAGTTGACATCGCTAAGGTGGAAGGAGGAAGGCTTTGCAAGGTCTCTACTGGTTAACTGTTAGCGTGAAATGGGCTTTCTCATTTCATGGTCCTCTGTTTGCAGGTAACATTTTGCAGAGGTCTTACTTCTAGCTCTTGGCTCATTTCTTTGGGAAATGATCAACTCTCAGTGGGAGCGGGACAGTCCTGTGTCAGCATACCCCTGCCCCCTGCCGTCCCTCCTCCCAGTGGATGGATGTTCTTTCTGCTGGCTTCCAAGTTCCCACTGCAGTGGTTGTGTGCTGGACTAGAAAGGGCCCTGGTTCAGCAATTAGGAAGACCTGGTACTGACTTCTGATGACCTAACTAGCTGGTGACCTTGGGAAACCTGAATTTTCTAGGCCCTCCTTGTCTGATCTGTAAAGAGGGGGAACATGACTTACCTGTCAGGGATAGCATAAAAGGGTTGCTGGGGTCAACAGGGATTCTGCATTCTTGGGCCTGGCATATGCCTAGTAGGCTCGATAAACAAGACTCCCCAAGGCCTTCTCCCTTTAAGGTGCTGGATTTAAGCTCAAGCTGGCCCTTACTTGTGTTCCTCATCTAATAAGCTCCCTGCATTACCTTGTTCCATTTCATTTTATGGCCTCAGGTTATAAACCAAACATTCTTGCCAAATTTGCCTCTACCTTCTATTTGATTAGCATGAACTTAAGAAAAACAGTATGGAAACGGCAAAAATTCCAACCTACAGAATGTCACATCTCCAGCAAAGTGGCTACATTATTCCATTTGCTCATAGCAAAAACAATAATCACTTCTACCTTATGGAAAAATATTCAAAAATGTATGATTATTATCAACTCCTGATTGTCGACTTGAGTTGTTATCATAAAAATGGAAATGTCTAGATGCTCAGCTTTTCAAAGCCTGCAATCTGGAAAGAGAGTAAGACATAGTCAACATTTAACATGTTTGGAGCCCCTGGGTCAGGGCTGAGCATATAAGATGGATGTTACAGTACGTGGTAGGAGGCAGGGGTTGGGAGCTCCTGCCTGGTGCTGAGAATAGCCGCCGGGACTCTTAATACATTACATAATGCATCCCGTTTCCTTTCACCTGCCCATCTTGGATAGAACACCTTATATAAATGGACCACTGTAATAAGGGATAAAGAACATAGCTAAAAGAGGGAGAGCAGACACTTTCCAGAATGCAGCTGTCATTGTGTCCTGCTTATTCACTAGGGGGCATATGACAGTGCGAGGCCGCCAGTTCACTTGTGCCAGAGACTTCGAGATTAGGCATGTCCTCGAGGCAGGGAAGGCTCCCTCACGTCTTCCTTGGTAGGAAGGGAACATTTCTCGTGGTTACCAATAGGCACTTTGGACTCATAGGCTTGGGTTTGAATCTTCTCATGACCTTGAGCCAATTCTGAATGCTTCCAAGTCTCGTTTTCCTCTCCTGTAAAATAAAACTAGCAATAATCCCTGCCTCACAAAGTCAGCATTAAGATTAAATGTGTTAATGCCTGTAATCAGTTCAGCCCAGCAGCTAGTTCAGAGTAAGTACCTGATAGATGTTAGTGACTGTTATTATTATTAGCTATTACTAGTGCTTACCAATTATTCTATCTGACAGATTGATTAACTCGGGAGTGTCAATGTTTTATATGTTGGTGCTGAGGAGGAAAAGGGCTTGAAGTTCCATTCGGTATCTGGACTCACTCCTCTTTTCCTGTTTCCTCTATTTCTCCCTCATGTGTCTGTGTCCATCATTTAAGGGGGAAAAAAAAGTTCGGTCGGTCTAGTTCAAATGCCAAGTGTCAGGATGGAAAGGATGATAGGTTCTGTGGTTCCAATTCTCTGTCGTACCCAAGAGAAAAATAAGGTTGCCTTAAACTCCAAAGTTTGACAACAAAAGGGTACTTTCTTCCTTCTTGGAAACAAGTGAGATGCTTCAGTTAGACTGCTGTGGTCAGGGACATTAGAGGTGATGGACACCTACTCCAGGACCCTTTGGAGAAATGACTCAGCCAATGCTGTGGCCAGGATTGAGGTGCCAGATAAGCCCTACCTATCTGAACGGTTGGTATCTCCAAGAGACTTAGTTCTGCCTCGGCACACCAGGCCCTTCCTTCCAGCCACTGACTGTCTTTGTAAAACAGCTTTCTTGGTACACAGCCCAGGCATTTTTTTCACTTATTGTTTTGAATTGATCTTGGGCGACAACGGGGTAAGTAGTTTTGACAGTTTGATGACCTACAAGGCTTGACGTATTTTACTAGATAGTCCTGCACAAGAGTAATGTGTTGCCTTTGCTTTGGTGACCCCAGCTGTGTGTGGTGTGGTAGGGGTGACTTTCTCCTTCATCTTTTTAGTAGCCACCTGGGAGACCCCCACTGTTAGTTAGCCTCCAGAATCCCCCCTTCTTTTTCTCTCTCCGTTTTGATTATTGCAGCTATCAATCAAAGCTTGCCATCACCATGAGTCAGCTCGGAGTCATCTCTCACATCCAGACACAATCTGGCTTAGAATGCTCTTTTGTTGATTGTGTTTATGTTAAAGTCTGTCCTGCTCACTGAGCTGTGTGAGCTTTCGGAGGAGAGGGGCCACGTACCTAGTCTATAGGACAGCACACAGCCCGACATTTTAGATAAGAGAATGAATACATCACATTCAAACACCATATCCTTGAGAAAAATAAACCCTGCAATGAAAAACGATGCTAGCATAGGTGGCCTCTGATAAGTATGTGCACGTCTTCATTTCTGAGGCAGGCAAATGCTCCCGAGGCGTGGGACCGTCTTTGCTTGTCTGAATTTCCCCGTGTAGGTTTGCCAGGTCATGTTGATCCTGCCATGGCTCAGGAGTAGCTGAGGTTCCTTATAGGTGTGAAGAGCAGGGGAGACAGTGTAGAGTAATGGGTTCCAGGAGTTACACAAAGAAGCGGTCCCTGACAGAGGTGTGGGAACAGCAACTTGGTGCTGCCAGCGAGGAAGTCTTCTAACTGGCTCTTGAGTAGCAGTAGAGGAGCTGGGACCCACAGCCTATCAAAATTTTGGGTCAGCTCTCCTATGAAATGAGGTTTTTATCCAGAGAGGAAGAATTTGGTGTGAATTGGGTGAGGCAGGATATAGTGAATGAGGAGAGAAAGCAGGAGGCAAAAGGCTGGGGTTGGATCCCAAATGAATCTCCTAAGCCAGGTTTTATTTCACTGTCACCTTCTCTTGGAAAATATGGTGGCTCGTAGGTGTTCGACCTGGATTCTTAACTTTAGGTGAAGATTAACTGTGTTGAGGAAAACCCAGAGGAACCATCCATGCCCTACTGTTTGGCACTGTCCCTGACTCCTGGCCAGAGAGTTGGCTGTCCCATCCATAAAAAAAAAAAAAAATCAGACAAGAACAATAAAAGCCAGAAAATAAATACTTTCCATCTGGTAGACTGAGAAGCCACTCACCTGGGTCTCCCTGCTCATCACAACCAAACCAAACACACAGTCAAAATAGGGCAAGACTCCAAAAACAGCATTGGTAGCTTATTCTGTCCTTGTCTAGCTGGGTTTGACTGTACAATCAGACAACTGATTTCCACATACTGATATTTATTATTTAATGCTACTACTGAGTAATGTTTTAAGGACTGTCAGGGAGATCCTATGACATACCCCATGCGGTGGATAAGAGAACCACTCTTCCCCAGGTCCAGGAGCAGTGTATGGCAAGAAAGCCAGATGGGCAGGCTGCCAGTTGGCCAACAACTGTGTATTTGTCTGTGAGTCCACATGCGTACTTACACCTTCTGGGATTCTTTATAAAAGCCTCCTCTGGGCTAACAACCACATGAGAATCTTACACTTAGAAAACTCCCTGGGGGTAGCAGGCTGCGGGCAGTGTGACTATCTTCTAGTGACTGGCTGGGTGGGTGTCCTTGTGTAGGACATTCCCGTGGGTTACCTCAGGCCCACAAGGCTTTCCATAGTGTGAGGAAAAACTCTAGGGCATACTGGATCTGGGGATCTGAATGGATAAGATACCACACACAGTCCTACTTTCCAGTCACCCTGAGGGCAGCTATCCCACTGTGAGGTAGAGAAAAGGAAATGATTGTTAGGGAGAAGCAGACACTCCCTTCCTGCTTGGAGGATGTTAACTTTCAAATGGTTCCTCAGGGCCCTTGGCTTCCTTTATTATTTGGCTGTTAAGCACTGGCAGCGGGGTCCTTAGGGGGACCCAAAAAGAGGGATTCTCTTGCTCTTTATTTGCTGTGAGAAAAGTCTGAGCACGCTGTGGCTTTGCTATTATTCCCAGAGTATCAGAGCTTCAGGGCCTTCTTGGTGGAGGTGGGAAGTGAGTAACAGAGGTGCAGGTGTCCCTCACAGCACACCACCTCAGCTGACCGGAGAACAGCAGGTTTCCCACACGTGGGAAGCAACACAGGTACGGAGCCTAGAACCTGCTTGGTCTACACGTAAGAGGCGTAAAGGTCTGTCACAAGCTGCAGCAGAGACCTTTTCATCCATCCTGTGGGTGCATTCAACTAAGATGGTGGAGGAGACGACTGCGGAAGAGAGAACTCCAGCATTCATGCTCTAGGTCTTCTCCATCCACCCCAGGTTTACTTCCTGTATCTTCAAGGGAGATCTGACCAGGGCAGTTTTTAATCCAGAATGCCACTCAAAACCAGACAAACAAGGGGCTGGATCTAGCCTTGGATGCACAGTGGTTCTTTATATAATGCAAAAGGAAAATTAAAAGGAGATGGAGTTTTCTCTTCTGTCATACATGAGAGAAATTGAAAAATTTAAAGATAGCACAATGTTCACTGAAATCACTTTGCCACAGGGAGATTTTAAATTTATAAATAACTGTTGATAAATGTGAGCCCTGGAGTTGGGCGCCATTGTTATCTTTGAGAACATTTTAGAGGGAAAAAAAAATCCAAGATACAAAGAGCTTAAAAATTATTTTTTTTTCCAAAAAGCAAATCATCTCATGAAACAAAGTGTACATCCCAGGGCCTCAGTTTGGAGAGATACACAACAGTATAGAGAGGGCAGTAACCCATTAGCCATTCATTTTCAAAACAAGACTGAACTGGAACCTGTTTGAAATGTGACCAGAGCCTTCAGAGCAACAAAGCCCACTTTATGGATTGGTTGGAGAACTGTTTTCCCTTTCCTAGTTATGGAACTGATGAGCACCCTGTGTTTATGAACAAGGATAGGCTAGTTTGTTCTAGAAACACCCTGCATGAGGCAGCAGGTCACAGCCACACTGCCACACAGCATTCTCTTGGTTGTCTTTGCTTGACGACTCCTCTACTTTGGGGCTATCACTCAGATTTCCCCGTTGACACGGTCTGTTAAAAATTTGGCACAACCCCACCCCCTACCCCCGATCTTTACTCTTCTGGCCTTAGTCTTTCATTGCTTCTGGTGAACTGTAAACGGATGTTTGAGGTGAAAAATAAAACCAAGCATCCTTTGTAGTCTATTCTCTGGTATATCCTCAACAAAGGTCAACAAAAAGGCATGAAGTGTGAGCTGACTGGGCCTTCGGCTATGCATGTATGTGCTCCCATCTGACTCAGCCACTGATGACAGTGGCCATATTGTCTTAAGCATGCTGGTGCAAGAGACTTCCCCCACAGGACTGTTATCCCAAATGACATGGCAGGTCTCTGAAGTTCAGCCACTTTCAATACACAGAGTCCAGGATTGACCTGGGACCTGGATGGACATGTGATCACTTCGGAGCTTATGGGTTGATGATCACAGATATCATAGCCCACTCAACAGCTTGGGCATGGGAACTACACCTTCTCTCTCTCCTATCCCCAGGAGCATGGCTCCCATCCACACAAACCCACATCTGAGTGAGTTTCCTTCACAGGCTAAAAAGGAATGCCCATTGGAACATGAAGCTTGGATAAGAAAGTGCTTCCCATGACAGTGACATCATCACCATGGAGAATAAAGCCAGAAGGCAGATTTGCAACTTGTCACATTGTCCCATTATCTCAAAGGTGATTCTTTGAAAGCTGCATTTACACTCTTTCCGGAGTTATCTTTTTTCTTATAACGCATTGTGTGTTTTTTTGCACAGTATCAGAATGAGGATAAAAATTACAATAGATTAATTGCATCCCTTGAATCACTTTATATTTTTGGTGCATTAAAAAAGGAGAAAAGTAAAAGCTTTGTTAGTGACTGAAGGGTTAACACAGACTCAAGAAGTAGTTAAAAATAGTATCAGAGGATTATACATACAACAGTTGGAAATTCGTACGCTTTGTATTTTTTTTTTTCTGTTGTTTCTGAAAAAATGGCAAAATGTTTGGCAAACGTAAGCAAATGACTTGGGCTATGTTGGGGCTCACCGGCTCTGAGCGGGTCAGTCATAGCCAGGTGAGGCCCACAGCTTCCTGAGGTCACACTGTGGGGCTGATAGGGAAGAGGTGCTAGGAGATAGGGAGGTCCATGCCCCCCACCAAGCTCCCCCTCGGGCCCTCAGTCTTGAACATGGAAATGGAGCTGGTGAGAGGGGCCAACCACAGACTCCAGTCCGGATAGCCCGTCAGCATCTCTCAGAGAACTCTGGGGACTTGAACCACACGCAGACTGGGTGAGCGGTCTACACAGTGGCCCATATTGCGAAAGCTGGAGAGAGGAGTGGGGCTTCCACCCCTCCACCCTGCACACCCCACCCCCACCCCAATGGAGGGAGAGGGTGCCACTAGTGCTTAATCTGGCCATGTTTTCAACTTGAACTTGTGATTTTTTTTTTTTAGTAGACTCATTTTGTAATGCTTTTAAAGTTTTGTGTGTGTATGCGTATCCAGAAACGTCCATCCTCCAAGCTGGCCACAAGTGTTCCCTGAAATCGGCAGTGCCTGTTGCTTGTAGCTGTTGGCATCGTGAAAACCATGAGGTACCTTCCAAGCAGATTCTGAGCCCAGCAGTGTGCGTGTCCTCCGGGGCCATCCCATCCTCTCTTTATTCTGAATCCTGACTGGCTCGGAATTTTTAGAAAAAGGACAAAGGTCTTGTGTGTGTGTGTGTGTGTGTGTGTGTGTGTGTGTGTGTGTGTGTGTGTGTGTGTGTGTGCATGTCTGCTTTTGAAATCCTTTTTTCTTTGTCTCTTTCTCTCTCTCTCTCTCTCTTTTTTTATTAAGAAAAATGACCCTTCGCCTCACAAACACAGAGTTCAACCCTCCTCTTGGAGTCACTATAAAACGGATTCCATGTTTTCACACCACTCATGGTCTTCCAGGTTATAGATAAACTTTGTCCTATGTGTCTGGTGCGCGGGCACAGGGTCCCTCCCCAGATTGTCTAGGGTCAGAGTAGAGGCAAAGAACTCACTGGTGCTCAGCCCGCCCTCGTGGTTTTTGATGTAGCGTTTATAGTTTTTCCGCAGGCACTGCCACGTGGTGGTGTAGAGGAGGAAGGCAAAGGACTTGAGCGCGATGGCGATGCTGACATACAGGTATCTGTAGACCACGTTGTCATAGAGGACGCAGGCGCCTTGTTCCCCACAGAAGGTGCTCCAGAACAGACAGGTGGAGTCGATACCGGCCCCAAAGATGAGAGGTGGGGGGATGAAACCTGGTAGAAGGAAGAGATCATTTCAGATTTGGGGGTCAGATGAACCGTTCACTGCAGAGAAGGGCTCTTCTATCCCTGGCTCTGTACATTTGTTTACAAGACAGCTGGGAGCATATGCTGGATCACTAGGCTCTAGAGTGCAGTGGTTCAAACCATCGGAACACACATCCCAGTTCAGGCTTCGTTATCCAGACAAAATCATTGCGCCCTCTATACCTGAGGCTGGCTAAATTAAAACATGAAAAGAAATCAGGATGGTATGTGTTGTACCCGATAAGATAAGTGACAGCTGTCATTATTCTGAGATGGAAAAATGTTTTTCCTGGAGTCTTCTTAGTATTAGTCAACCTCCTAGAAGAAATTCAAAGAGATGTGTGGCTCTCTCTGCTCACTGCCGTCCTGCATGTGGTTTGCAGGGCTGTGTGAACCACCATGTGGAGGGACCAGGGACCAGAAATAGAATATGAATAAGTCATACTGTGTGAGCACATAAATAGACACATTTATAGTTTAAAATGGTACATGTGACCAACATACTCATGATTACTGTTGGTCCAGTTATTAAACTGGTATGAATTCTTTTCAAGCGGAGCTGACACCAGATAGCCACAGCAATCATCACAAATGCTAGATGAGATGAGAACTATCTCCATTCTAACTCAGGTCCAGGGCAATCTGCTGGTTTGTTTGCCTGCTCTCAACTCTTCACTCACATACCATTGGACCTGCCTTGGACCAACCACAGCCAACAAAATCCCAGATTTTGATTTAAGATACAGCTCAGTCATTACATATGTTTTCTTTTCAAAAATGAGGTCTTGCTATGTTGTGTAGGCTGGACTTAAATTCATGGGCTCATGTAATCCTGCTGTTTCAGCATCCAGTGTAGCTGGATTCCAGGTGCTTGGGTACTTACCACCATCCTGGGCTCAGCCATTTGCATAGTGTGTGGGTGTATGTGTGCATGTGGAAACCAGAGGTCAGCGTTCAGTGTTGTTCAACTGGAATTGTCTACTTTGTTTTCTGAGAGATGTTTTTGGATTGCCTTGGAACTTGCCAGTATAGTTCTGTTGGCTGCTCAGGGACCTCCAGAGATATACCTGTTCCTACTGTTTCCCCAGCGTTGGGATTACAATCTGGTTTCTGTTTGTTTTAATGTGAGAATCAGGTCCTGCTTGCATGGCAAACACTTTACCAACTGAGCTGGCTTCCCAGCCCATCATTAGAATTTTGAAGATAGAATATAAGCCTGAGGTTCGATCCTCAGCACTGAAAAAAAAAAAGTCCCAGGTGATTCTGGTCTGTTTTGAGGAGCCTTATTTGTTGGATGGGGAAAAATGAATAAGTTATTAAGTTAGTAATACAAATTCATTGTCAGGGTTTCTAGCATTCCCTGAGGCTAGACTCTGGTGCCAGCCACCTTCAGTGACAGACCTTAATTGTGAGACATGATGGCTACAGTTAGATTGGGACAATCCTGGGACTGTAGGACTGGTGTGGCACTCCCTGGAGTGGCCCTTCCTGGCTCAGTCCTGGGCCAAACTTCACTTTTCACTGAAGGTCTTTCTGAGACTGTGATTACACTGAGACCCTTTGTCCAGAAAAATAGACGTATTCTCCAAACCAAGCACACAGTTTAGGGGTTCAGCAAATTGCTAACTCCACCCACAGTGGCAAGCAGTCTTTCAGATGTATAGATGATACAGCACCACCATACTGAGAGTTACCTAGGCATGGGAAGGCTGTATGGAGGCCTCAGCACTTCCGTGTTTTAAGATGGGCCTGGATTGATTGCTGGGTTCTATATTAGCCTCTTAGAACTGAGAGGTTGGCAGAACTGTTGTCCAGGTCTTGGTGTCTTGGCCCTTCTCCTAGGTCTGCTGCTTGTTACCCCAGAGAGAAACCTCACAAGACACATTTTCTTAGAATCCTCATTAACCTCCTCCTCAAGCAGCCTGATTTAATAAATAGTGTGGGCTCAGAATCCCCTACAATCTGTTCTCTATTCCCAGTGCAGACTTCCTGCAGAGCCAAAACATGTCTGTTTCACAACCTGTGGCACTGAGGCTGCTTAGGAGCACACATCTTCTCCACTAGCTGAGCTGAAGCATGTTCTCCCCACCCCAACATGGAGGGATTTCCATGGCAACTGATGCACGTATGGATGGGTCTGTGGCTAAATGGCACTGATTGGACCTATTCTCAGGCACAGTGGGACAACGTAAATCCATTCACCTTTTCTGTTTTTCTGTGGTTTCATTTTGTGATTAGATACCAAATGCTCTTTCTACCTCTTGTGACCAATCTTGAGGTTATTAGCCTCTGCCCTAGCTACTAGTCACCCAGCAGTGAAAAGCTAAACTGATGGGCACCCTGCTCAAAGGACATCCTGTTGAAAAAGTCTACCACAGGGAGGAACTAAGAGTTAGATATTCTTTACTCCGTAATGCATGGATTCCTGGACACACAGGCAAATTCGGCAAATCAGAATATATTTTTAGCACATCACAGGACATCTGGAGCATAACGGAGCCATTTGTTAGTACTTATTTAAGCTCAAACTCATGCAACTCCTTCATGATCCTGTGTCTGAATGAGAATTTTTATTTATAATATTCAGTTGTCTTTAAGTAGGGCATGCGTGCTTTGTGCTCTAAAGGTGTCAATTTTATTGTATTGTCAGGTTCCCCTAGCAAATGACGATGTCCCCAAAAGAACCAGAAAAAGCCTTCAAGTACTTGGAAAGCTAAGTGTCCATTAAAGTTTTCTATGCTATACTCAAGATCTTAGAGACCATTGGTGGTAGAGATGAGAGAGTTTTTACTTAAAGAGCTGGCAACGCTAAGGCATTTCCCGTCATCTCTCAGTGTCTCTGTGAAAGATGGAGCTAATATCACCTTCTAGGGCACAAATGTGTTTGCAAGGGGCCTGACCCATTCACAAGGCCAGAGCTTTTGCTAACTCACTCATCTTCTACAGGGACTTAAGGGGAAATTGTAGAGTAAATGCTAGGGTTAGTAACTAAAGAACAACCTTCATGAGACTTCTTTTGTATTTCTACATAAAGCATTAGCTTTCTTTTCTGCCAAATTAAACTCTTCCCTTTTATTGGCTTGAAATTCTCTCCCAAGGGCGGACTCTAAGCTATCGGACTCTGAATTCCAGGCTTGGGGAGATGACACAGATGTAGGTCTGAAGCACTCTTTTTCTTCTGGAAGTCTTTGCTCTTCTGGAACTCTCCTGAGCAGTCACTTATCAGGTTCCTAACCTCCTGACTAATTTTTACACTATCATTCATCTGTATATGTTCATGGATCTATTGAAGTAAAAAAAAAAAAAAATCAAAACAAACTGTCCCCAGAAGATGCTGGCCCACCCTGAGACCAATGGGAGATTTCTATACTATTAATAACCAGTCAGTTAACCACCCCAGCACTGTGGAGGCTGCAGATCCATCCATCGTAACTCCTTCCATAACTCCTAACCTCCTTTATTGCACAGAGAAAGAGGCAGATCATTTAGTCATTTGCTTTTCTTCTAATTCAAAGTTCATTAGTCTGAGAAGATTTTAGATCATTTATCTGGGATTTCCAGGGTTACAGAGAATAGGTTATTTGCCTTCTGCTAAGTTCTTGGAAGCCATGTTTTGATGTGTGAAGAGAGAGAAACACACAGGCGTCCTGATCCTTGCCAGTTATAGAGTTCTCCCTCCTCTGGGCTCGTTAATGCACGGAGAAGCTGGGAGCCTGATTTGTAAACAAGCTTCCCTAGGATCTGGCAGAATGCCTCTGGCAGGACTGGCAGACACTTGTCAGCAGGAAGAGACAATTGCGTCCTTGTCACCTTTCTTTTCAGTCAGGGTCCTCACCTCTGGAGGTCTCCTGGTGAAGGAGGACATTTCCATGCCATCTCTGTCACCTGGGAACCAGGGCACTTTGGGCAAGTTCCACAACTTCACGGAATCTCAGCCTCTTTATAAAACGGGTACAAGTTGACTTTCTTGGTGTAGGGGTGTATTTCATGTGTCTGTGTAAGTGTGGGTAAACATGGAGGACAGAAGTCAAGGTTAAGTGTCTTCCTCAATCCCTCTCCACTCTATTTATTATTTTTAAGACAGAGTTTCTCACTGTTCCTGAAAGTCACTGATTGGCTGGCTTGTCTGTGAGTTCTAGAGATCATCCTTTCTCTGCCTCCCAAGTGCTCAGGGATTACAGGCAAGTGCCACCAAGCTTGCCTTTTACATCCAAGGTGGGGATCCGAACTCAGGTCCTCAAGTGCCTTAAGGACCGAACCACCTCCCCAAATAATTATACTTTATTGCAGGGTTAATTTTTTTAATTGAGAAAATATGGGTAGAGAATGCTCACCAATCAGGTTCTGACCCTATTTTTAGGGGGTTGTTCTAAATCCCTTTGGCTATTGACCACCTGCCCTCTTAAAAACAAAAACAAAAACAAAAACAAACAAACAAACCAAAAAACCTCATAGGAAAAAATGTACTACAGAAAACCTTTCAAGCCAAGAGTTTGTGGGTCATCCCTCACCCCTTAAGAGTGAGTCTATTTTGAAAGACAATCAAGTGCTTCTAGAGGGGAGGCCAGGGACACATCAGCGTGTCTTGTTTGAGCATCTTCACTCTGGTACACCCTTACTGTGGCAGGAGTGCGAAGGCAGGGGTGAGAGTGGAATGCTGTTAGAAACATCCCCTTTCCCTTTGTATCTCCTGGGCAGGAACCTGCGTGTGAAACATGCCTCAATAGGGCCCCACCGTGTGTTGGCAGCATATATGACGAGATCAATGCTATTTGCTATTTCAAAAAATATCGAAAGGATTAAATCATCCTTATACTTTAGCTCACATGCATATATGTGTGTGTACATGTATACACTTTACATATACATGTAAGTATATATGTATATGTATGTGTGTGTGTATATATCTGTATACATACAACACATACACATGTACTGTGTGTGAGCAAAACCTTCTATACTGCCTA